TTTGAGTTATATTATTTTTGTATATGATAAATATATGCTATATTAAAAATATAAACTTATTTAATTTCGATAATTTCGATACTTTCAGTTCGGTATCGGTATTGCAAATTTTCGGTAATTACCAGTACCGATACTGAAAAATATTTTCGGTATCTGTTTTATGAAATACTGTATCGAATAGTATCGATCGGAACTTTAATTCTTCCTTTGATAGAAAAATTTCTTCTGTTTTCCAATTTAGGATTTTTAATACTAATTGTTTTGAATTTTCTTCTTTTTTCACTATTATAGATATTTTATTTCCTTCTACCTTTTTATATATTGTTTCCTTTTTAAAGAATTTTGTTATTTTTTTTATGATATTTCTATAACTCTCACTTTCTATTGTTAGAATAGCTTCTGTAATATTTTTTTTCCTAGTTTCCCTTCGTCTAAATAATTCCTTTTCTTCTTCTTTCATAATTTCTATATACTGTTTCCTTATGATTGCTCTATCAAAGTAAACAGGATATTTTTTAATAAAGAAATCTTTTTCTGTGTCATACTTTCTTTTTGTTACCATTATCTGAATTTTATAAGATTCATCTAATTCTTTTTCTTCATATAATAACAATATTAATTTATATACATTACTTATTATATTATGTTTTATCCTTATACCCATTATCTTTTCTTACTATATCCCATAAATCAATCCATTGGATTATTTTTTGTTGCCTCTCATCCTTTAAATTTATAAAAGTTTTATTTATTGTTTCTTTCATAAGGCTGTTTATTTCTTCTCGAGTTATCAGGATACATTCTTCTTCTATCTCTTGGAGGATTACTTTTTTTTCATAATATTCACTTATCAGAATTTGTTTTCTGATTTTCTTGTGCTGATAGTGTTTGATCAATTCCAAGTGGGCATAATCTCCTCTCTCATCATAAGGATGACGTAATTTTCTAAAATGTTCATTCAATTTCTTCTTAAGGATTATTTTATAGTAGTAATAGTTCAATTTTCCAAAATCCTTTAATGTTTCTTTGTCATATGTTTCTGTCATATTTGTTGATTTTTCCTTGAAGTTTCTAGGTTTTTGTTTTTGATTTTTTTGAGATATAGTCCATTTCATTGTTCTTTTATAATTTTTTCAAGATTTTTTGCTCCTAACTATATATTATTAATATTAGTCTACTACCTGTTTAATAAATATATAATTTGAAAAACCTTAAGATAAAAAAAATTTAAAAAACTATTTGTTATAAAAAATAAAAACAAAAAAACATTTGAATAAGATAGTTATTTGTAAAAAATTTTGGTAATAATATATAATTAGTTGTTATTAAGACAATGAAATTATTATATATAGTTCTTGAATGTATTTATATATTCTAGCCAAATGACAACATTATATAAGCCACATATAATTAATAATTTTATTATAGGTAATATAATGATTTTGATTAGTAAATATTGTTTTAAGTTTATGAAAAATGAGAAATATTTTATATTATTATGATAATAATTTGATTTGTTATTAAAAATATTAAAACCCATCAGATACTACTATTTATTCTTTCAATCTAATAAGTTGTTATATTGTTTTGATATATTTAAGTGATATAGAATATGATTAATGTTTTGTGTATTGTAAATCTTTTAATGAAAATAAGCTAATTTTGATTTTTGTAAATATGGAAATAATAAGAATTAAAAACTAATCAGAAAATTATAACATTAACTTGGTATTAGTTATTATTAACAAAAAAAAACTTTAAAAAAAATAAAATACTATTTCTTAAGAATTGTATTATTTATTGATTTAAAAATAAAAGTTATACTGTATTTTTCCAGTTATAAGCATTCTTTTTTAGGGGTTTATATTAGATTTATTTTTGTGGAAGTGTTTATAACTGAAAGAAATTTTTTTTTTAAATAATTTGATCAATATCAATTAGATTTGGATAAAAAATATATCATTAAAAAGTTCTTATTGAGAGAAATCTAATGGTATAATTTTTATCAAAATCCAATCATTAGATATTGGGATATATTAATTTTTGTATTTTTTTTTAAAAAATTTTTTTAAAAATTATAGGAATATTTATAACCAGGAGAATACAGTAATCATTTTATATTGTTTGTATAAGAAAATAGCCTTTACATAAAGAATTTTTTTTATTTATCTTTTTTGTTTCAAGTAATTGCCTAATATAGTTGCTGGTTATTAGATTTTTTAAAGCAAGCTATTGCTAAAATCCCAAGAACCAATCTGAACTTTGAAATTCTGCTACTTTAAATCAATTTTTCAGTTTATATCTTCTTTTCAAGAAATATATTTCACTAAAAAAAATTTCTTGAAAAAGAGAAACTTTCTAAAAAAGCAATTTTCTATATATGAAGATATTTGTGAAAAAGAGTTTTTTTTTAAAAAATAATTTAAATGTTAAATTTTATTAAAGTATATATAGATATAAAATCTTGAATTTTATATAAAATTTTAATAATAAACAAATTTATTATGTTTTTTTTAAAGTAATTAATAATATCAATTAATTTTAATTGAATAAAATAATTTTATATTATTGTATAAATTTTTTTTATTGTTATATAATTTTGTTATTGTTCCAATTTTGTGTCTCCTATCAAATGATGTAATAAGTTTTAGATTATATAAGTAGCGCTAGAAAGAAGTAGAATTTTCCTTACCTTTGTAATGTTTCTAAATCCTTCTTGAAGTTTCTATTTAAAAATGTATATAAATATTAACATTTAATTATTTAATACTCTTCTCACGATTCCCGGGAACATCGTCGATCACGTGAGCATAATCGCGTTATTATAATTATAATTTCTCTTTTACAATAGAAAGAGTAGAAAGAGAAAAATTAAATTAAATTGCTTTAAGGTATGTCTGATGTTACAAAGATACGTATATAGTTATTTACTTATTAATTAAACCTAAACTTTAAATGCTGGATTCACTTTTAGTACAAATTGGGTTATTAGACCATTTCTTCAATATATACGATGAGAATACAGTATATGGATTAATTTCAGAATATACTCATGCTATACGGAGGACAAAGACCTTTAAATTGCACTGGTAAATAGTTGTGAGGTTTTAGAAGGAATAACGATATGTATTTTGTTAACTGCTAAAATGATTAACCTATTACATGTGCTATATAGTAGAATGGAATGTTGCGCACGGATAGAACATGCAAGATAACCAAATTCGGCAAATTAACACAAGGCAGTCTACGCGTTATTTAAGAACTACGTGTTTAAGGGTTCGCGTTTTTTTTACGATTCTTGTACTTTTTCTTTAACAAGTTTTATATACCATGACTTCCGAACAAAAATATCCCGGATATGAAGAACTCTCGTCTTATTTGACGCAAAGCAAAAACAAATCTTTCTGGGGTTTTCTACTCCGTTGTCGAGATGCGATTATTGCAACCACTCTGGCCGATTCCCGTTGGAAGGATCTCGATGATAAATGGGCCACTAATTTTATAACGGAGGCAAGAACACTTGGTGAGGATTTGAGTAATAAGGTGTGTATTTTTTTTATTTTGCAAGGTTGGGGAAACCTCTAGTTGGAGCGCTACACGCGCACTGCCTAGGAGAACTACTGTGTACGACAACTTGGGTAACCAGCCCCAGGTTCTCTATTCAGGTGCCCTAACTTTGTCGTTGGTAAAGGCCTGCGGATTCTGGAGGTGGAGTCGGTTGTGTGTCTTCCTTTTAGGGCATGCTTTCTATATTATAGGGTTCGCCCTAAACTAGTGTTGTAAAACGACTTGTTCATTGGTAATAGTCACATCCTTTTTATTATGTCATCTATCGAATCACATAGTAACATATAAAAGGATGACTATTACCAATGAACAAGTCGTTTAACAACTCCCTAACCATTTGGTTTCTTGCATGCCCTCATCACTAAATAAAAAATTACACACTGTTAACATTAATAACTGCTTTCCTTACAATAGATTAATTCGGAACGGCAACGTTATAATTTTGAGGACTATTGGAATAATGTAATCTCGGAACGTAGGATTGTAAGTAAATTATTTATTTTGCATTCATATATTAACATTTAATATTATTCTTAATTATTCTTCTAAAATTAGAAAGAAGATATCTTGGTCCGTGAAGCAGAAGAAGCTCGCATTCAGGGTGAACTATCGCTTCTTCGGCGCCAACTATTCGAAATTCAAGTGAAAGTGCAAAATTCAAATAATCAGGAAACGGATAATGATGATTTTT